CTCACTATTTTCACTTTGTAAATGATCATTTACTAAAATATCTGCTTAGAAACTGCTGAAGCTGACTGAAATAGAGACGAAAACCACGAAGCACATCCAAATGTCGAGTTTTCCTAGACCAGGTCAGAGTTTTAGCTCTAGAAGAGGCTCTCAGCAGTGTTTCAGACTCTGGAGATCCGTCTGTTGTGTGTCCGCTCGTTTCTCTGAGTTTATGAAGCTGCAAATCAACACTTACACGCAGACCCGGAGCTCCAGCGAGTCCCTTCTCTCCAGCCTTTCCAGCCTCACCCTGCAGCGAGACACAGATGCACATAAAAGGGTTATGATTGAATATTGACACAACAGAGCAATAATAACACGCACAGACAGACAGACATGGACTAAGAAGAGTGTTGGTTTTTACATTTCCACCCTTGGGTCCCGGGAATCCCATGACTCCTGGCTGACCGCGAACACCCTGAGGCCCCGGGGGTCCCGGACGACCGTCTTCACCCGGAGCGCCCTACACCCTCAACAAAACACACGGTAAATGAAGACACAACACATCTGAACATGTATTTAATGTGTGTGTTCTTCTGTAAGATTGAAGTCATGTGACAGGAAACAGGAAGTGACGGAGCAGCATTGCATTGATGTTAGAATATTACCTATATAGATTAATAATGTTGCAGAAACAGAGTCGTCCTTCAACAGCCTAAGCGCTCCTTCTAATGTTGCATTACTGCATTGCTCTAATTCTTACTTCCTGAAATAATTGTTCATAAGTGTTGTTTATACAGGCAGGAGATCTGGCCTGTAAACCAGTGTCTACTCACAGACGGACCGACTTTGCCCTGTGGACCGGCGTCTCCTGGACGTCCCGTCAAACCCTGCATAACAAAAACCACTCCTGGTTAAGACAAACCTGTGAAAGCCGACCTGAACCGACAGGTGATCTGGCTTACCCTTGCACCAGGTAGACCTGGTTCTCCCGGCCGCCCTGGATCTCCACCGGCTCCTTTAGGTCCCGATACGCCTGCAGGTCCACGCTCTCCGGGCGCACCCTGAAATGCAAAGCACCACCAAACAGGCTTAGCAGCATGTGGTGCACTGTAAACACTTGTTTTCCAGGTGTGTATTAGACTGAGAATACTGACAGATGTTTTACAGAAAACTCACTTTACATGTTCTACTTTTAAACTGCTTTAAGTAGAAGTGACCTGGCAGAATGTCCAGCAAATGTTGAGATACCACCGTCAGTAGAGATCTCCAGCGTGCTCAAACTGGCTCATTTACCGATTAGTCACCATCGAGACTGTCTTTTACTGTCACTCATTCTCATGACACTGTAATTCACCAGTCATGTTCATTGTTACCCCAGCAGATTATCCTGCGATTGTCTAATTCACACGTGATCTAAGAATATTGTTTTTCTGAAAAGACTGAGTTTAGTAGTGTTTTGAGCATTCTTCAGCTGCTGTAGAGGAGTTTATTCTCACCTTTGGACCAGCAAGACCGTCTTGTCCGGGAAAACCTCGATTACCAGGCGTTCCCTGCAGAACACAGACGACTTGTCAGCCGGATGCTGTTCAGTAAAGATAGAGCTCAGTAATCCTCAATGCCTCACCCGTTCTCCAGTTGGCCCTGGGGGGCCCGCAGCACCAGGCTCTCCTCTGGGTCCTCGCTTGCCTTCTTCTCCAGCAGGACCTGGAGCCCCTTGTAGACCAGCATTTCCCTAAAGAAACAATACGATCAGCCTCCGCAGAGATCATCAAGAGTTTGGAAGAATGTAAACAACAGAACTCACAATCTCTCCTTTAGGACCGGCTTCACCTTTGAACCCTGCGAGGCCCGAGTCCCCCTGCAGAAGAACACACGATCACACACTCGGCAGGTCGAAACACACACACACACATGGCTTTATCAGATTGAATTATAGAGAAGGTTAGGAGGGACTGAAGGGTCGAGAGCTGGACACTGCTGATGATTATTGCTGTTGTAGGAATAAAGACTGTCTGTGTTTGCACCAATACTGATATACGGCTCAAATATTTGCAAAAGTTTTAAAATTGCAGGAGTGTGAATGAATTTAGCTTCAACTGCATGTAAAGCCCCAAATCAGGGAACGTTTAGGGCAGCGTGGAAAACACAAATAAACAGACAGCGGTGATCTCCTGATGTGCTCTGACTTGTGTTTGACTGCAGACGATATGAACACAGAATATCTGCTGTTGAGCTGCTCATCTTCTGCTCATGTGTGAATCTCCATCCTCTCCTCAGTCAGAGCTCAACACACTGCAGAACAGATACAGCAGCAGTTCAGGGCAGTGATCAGGTGATCTGCTGAATGATGATGTGATGTTCACAGGTGATGTGATGATGATCTGCTCATCAGGAAAGCTCTAGTGCTTTAGGAGCAGAGATGGGCAGAGGATCGCCAATTTGACCACAGATAGGAGAGGAAATGAGTGAAGTGTGTGAACACAATACTCCTCAGAGAAAGAGAGGAAGACGTGTGGATATTTCCCCTTCAACAGTGCAGAACAGCATTAAAGACTGAAGGAATCTGGAGGAGTTTCAGTGCGTAAAGGACTAAAAAAGACCCCTCAGGGGGCGCTGCATCAAGAGTCCTCATTCATCTATAAGCAGATCAGCACATGGGCTCAGCACTACTGCGCTAAACCTGTGACAAGCAGCACAATGCAGAGTCACATCCACAAACACCAGCCAACACTGCACTGTGCCAGGAGGAAGCCCTATGTTAACAGTGTCCAGACGCATTTGTCTGGGCTGGGAGGCGTCTGGGATGGAGCATAGTGGACACAGTGGAGACTTGTCTTCAATAGAGAATGTGTGGGGCATTTTGAAGCCCAGACTGCCACAATGAAGACCCCACACTGTTGCCCACTTTAAGATTTGTTTGCTGGATGAATGGGACAGAATGACTCTTGAAGTCAAATAAATGTAGAAATCTCTAGTTTCTCTAACACTGATCCAAATCCCCTGACTGAGTTAATCATTAATGCTGCAATTATTGTAGACAATTTCAATGACATGGAGACAGAAATATCTGTTCAACACAGAGCTTACAGCACTGCTGGTAAAGTGTGTGTTTCTGACGTCAGTGTCTGTTTGGGTGGTCAGTGTGTGTGTATAGCGGACACACAGAAAGTGTGTGTTTCAGTGTGTGTGTGTATTGTGGACTCACAGATTGACCCTTTGGCCCTAGAGGACCTGTCGCTCCCTGAGGGCCTGGAGGACCACGCGGACCCGGGAAACCAGGAGCTCCACCGATACCCGGAGCGCCCTAAAACACACACGTACAGACAAACACACACACACACACACACACACACACACACACACACATCAGACAGATGTTCTCTGGAGTGGTCAAATGGACAAAATATCCTCATGTACGCACCACTGATCCTTTGGCTCCAGGCATCCCGTCAGAACCAGGGTTACCCTGCGGACGGAGAACACTGATCAATACCAGACAACACTCCTGATGCAGAGGCACACCACACGCCTTCACTCCACAATAACGGCTGGCTGGAGTATTATTACTGCTTTACAAACCTCAGAGCATTGCAGATACAGAGAATAAAACACACCCCGTTGTTCATCAGTTCTGATTGATTACTGGGATTTGAGACACACTAACCCTATTTAGCACAGTTAGTATGTGAAGTGTGACGCAGCCCAGGTGAGGCAGAACAGCCGCCACACTTAATGTTTACATGTTTGAGCAGTTCATCTTCTCTCCAGCCTCCATTATCGGTCAGTGTTTTCACTCATGGCTCTGTAAAGCACTGTGAGTTGTCATTGTGTGTGTGATAAACGGACTCTTCCAGTGTTTCTCCTCCAGCTAACCCTGATCTCCATCCGTACCCGCGTCCCCTGCCCTGCTGTTTAATACTCACAGAGACTCCAGAGGGTCCCGAGGCTCCAGGAACACCAGACTCTCCACGGGGCCCCTGTGCTCCCTCAGGCCCTCGGGCTCCGGTTGGTCCCGCTTCACCCTGAGAGACACACACCGTCAGTAAACCTCCATCAGCAACATCTGAGACACCTCAGTGTGTGTGTGTGTGGAGCTACGAGTGTTCATCTGCTGGAGCAACACAGGTGTACAGGTGTGTGTTCTGTGGTACAGGTGTGTGTTCTGTGGTACAGGTGTGTGTTCTGTGGTACAGGGGTGTGTTCTGTGGTACAGGTGTGTGTTCTGTGGTACAGGTGTGTGTTCTATTGAGTCAGTGTCAGGTGTACAGGTGTGTGTTCTGCTGTACAGGTGTGAATAGTGACTGTGATGCAGCAGAGACATGAGGGATCATTGATAGAGGAATCAAGAGAGGTCACACCTTTGCACCGGGGGATCCTGGGAACCCGGGAGATCCTGCTGTACCAACGGGACCCTGAACACACACACACACACACACACACACACACACACACACACACACACACACACATGCGATGAGCTGCTGATCTGCAAATAAAGACACGATTCACAGCGACTGAAGAAATGAAGGATCCTCAAACCCACCGGTGGACCAGCACCGCCAGGCAGACCGTCATTACCACGAGCACCCTGATAAAACACACACACACACACACACACACACACCTCAGTGCTGTGCGTCATCATCATCGTCGTCATCATGTGCACACACGTGTGCATATCACACAGCATATAAAGACTATAACCTAACCCCATCCTCTACACAGCATTACTACACTTCTGGACATCACTGCGCCGCTGATCCACACTCTCTACAAGACTACACACAGACTATTCTGCTCATTTTCTCCCAGTGGTGTGTCTGCAGTGAACATGAGTATCCTGCACAGCAGAAGAGTTTATATTACTGAATATTGCTGAATCTCAGAGGAACAGAGGAGCAGAACAGCAGACAGACAGACAGACAGACAGACAGACAGACGGACAGACAGACGGACAGACAGACAGACAGACGGGGTTCACACTTTAGATTTAGTGTGTTCTGTGAGGCTGTTTGGATGTGTGTATTGGGAAAGGAAGATCATTTTAGCAACAGATTCAGGCCAACATTGACACACAATCAATACATTTATAAATGATTAATGTCTGAGCCGTGTGCAGCAGAAGACCCTTAAAGAAAGAAGATTCTTACAGAAGCTCCTGACGGTCCTGGACGCCCCCGTTCACCAGGCAGACCTCGCGGACCCTGAGACACACACACACACACGCACGCACGCACACACACACACACACACACACACACATTTATCAAGGGAAGATGAACTGCATTTCAGATGTGTACTGAAGGTCCTTGTAGAGAAATGAAATGAGAGGCTGTTTTTACTCTCGCTGCTGTCTAACAGAAATAGCCATAGAGCTGTGTGTGTGTGTGTGTGTGTGTGTGTGTGTGTGTGTGTGTGTGTGTGTGTGTGTGTGTGTGTGTGTGTGTGTGTGTGTGTGTTTGTGATGTATCTGACATGTTGAACTCTGTTTAAGCTCTGGAGAGCTGCTTCTATTCTCCTTCATCTCTGAATGTAAAGGGTTTGAGAACACAGTGTTTCAGCTGCTGTTTGTGTTTACAGCAGTCAGACTGAGGCTGTCATCATTATTAACACGGTGAAGAATGCATCTGATCAGAGCTGATCTCAGAGCAGTGTGAGGTGCTGCTGATCAGACAATCTGACTTCATCATGTGTGTTCTGATGGATGTTTGAGTCTTTACTCTGATCCGGCTTTCGGTGCCAGTTATGAACATATAAAGCAGATTTATTAAAAAACACTCACCATCGGTCCAGGAGCTCCACTTTCTCCAGGAGAGCCGGATTCACCCTGACAGACAGAGAGAGAGAGAGAGAGAGAGAGAGAGAGAGAGAGAGAGATGGAGAGAGAGAGATGGAGAGAGAGAGATGGAGAGATGGAGAGAATGTGATGTGCACTGATGAACTCATCTATCTATATATAATGATGGTGGAAGGATGATTGTGAAGGTCATACTTTTGCTCCAGTAGCTCCAGACTCTCCTTTAGCACCATCAAGACCTGTGTAACCCTACACACACACACACACACACACACACACACACACACACACAGTTAATAATAATATGGTTTCTGTTTACACTGACGCATTATTACAGCATGTATCCACACGTTATGTCTTCTTAATGCACTTTATCTGTGTCTGTTCATTTGAACTCAAACCATTTCAGATTCAGACACTTCTCCAGCCTTTACACTCCTCTGATCACACACTCCATACCTTTGTGTGATCAGTGACACACTCCATACCTTTGTGTGATCAGTGACACACTCCATACCTACTTTTATCCATGCCTATGTTTACATTACACCTAACTTTACAGTTTTATTCCATCTCTATTGTGATCTGTCATCAGTTCTGTGCCAGTATATGCCCTCACCAAGCAGCAGAGCAGTCCTCCTCACCTGAACACTACACTAACTGGCTGGACTTCTCCTCCCATTAGCCTGTACCCAGTGCTGACTATTCAACAACTGAACTAATCCATATTCACTCGTGTGTTTTTTACCCATCAGCAACAACTGACAAGACTCACATCACTGACGGAGAAGCTGCTGAAAACATTACAATCCCTCAACGTCTCCGTTTACCCACTCTTCCACCTCACCAGCGTCGGCAGGCTTCTTCTTCATTGGTATGACAGATGTATGGCTGAGGCCCTTTATAGACTACAGTGACTTAAACAAAACATCTGTAAAATACAGAGACCCATCCACTCGACCCAGCAGTCCTTGAGCTTCCCTCAGCAAAACACCCTACAAACTCATTCTACACAGTTCACAATGTGGTGAAAATCAAAGAGGAGGACGAATGGAAAACAGCATTTTCCACAAGCTACGGGCACCACGAATGCCTGCCGTGCCATAATAGCGCTGTCTGGGGTATGGCTGTCTAACCTTGACCTCCATCTCCAATCCTGCAGTGCAAGAAACTCAAGATTATTAAACAAATTACTCCTCTTAATCATACAGCAAAGAGGCATATCAGGAGCACAAACTCCTGAACTCCAGACACCAGGGACAAAATCTACAACCAGGAGGACATCCTCGACCCTTCCCTCACTCAAGAGTTCCATCAGTCACCCTGAAACCCCCGCACCAATCACCAAGAAGACGCCAGTGTCCATTGCCTCCTTGCATCAGGACTCCCAGGAGTGTATATCCCCTCACCAACCAGCAGAGGTCCTCCTCACCTGAACACTAACCTAAACTAACCTGAATCGACAGCACAGCATGAGCAGGACATTTCAGCCGGGGAACTTGTGGATCATTATGAGACCTCATGACTGTAGACCGGGGTGTGTGTGTGCATATATGGCTGTCATAATAACCCATATGTATGTGTGATCGTCCCAGATATACAATTAGTGCTCGTATGTAGATGAGCTTATTGACTGTTATACATAGTTTGGGCTAACTTTAGATTCGTCAGCTTACATTCTATATGAGTATGCAAACCCTATATTTCACACTCACTATATTTCACACTCACTATATTTCACACTCACTATATTTCACACTCACTATATTATTTCACACTCACTATATTTCACACTCACTATATTTCACACTCACTATATTATTTCACACTCACTATATTTCACACTCACTATATTATTTCACACTCACTATATTTCACACTCACTATATTATTTTACACTCACTATATTTCACACTCACTATATTTCACACTCACTATATTATTTCACACTCACTATATTTCACACTCACTATATTATTTCACACTCACTAAATAACTAAGAGCACTCATGGTGCCAGTAGGAGATTCATTTCTAGCCTCTGTGATTATAATGGAGGTTTGTGCAAGTCGCAGTAGAGTGAATGTTTGTTTCTCCACAATAGATGCGTCTTCTGGACATAATGATGATGATGATGATGTTGACATTCACCAACAGACACACTGCCACTGTCTATAGTCATATGCACAAATCAGAGAAGGAGAACTAACTCTGTGTCCCTTGATTCCAGGTAGTCCGGGTGTTCCTGGGAATCCACGAGCTCCCTGTGGAGAGAAAGAGAAACAGTGAGAGAGGAGAGAGAGAGAGAGAGAGAGAGAGAGAGAGAGAGAGAGGAAAAAGAGAGAGAGAGAGAGAGAGAGGAAAAGAGAGAGAGAGAGAGAGAGAGAGGAAAAGAGAGAGAGAGAGAGAGGGAGAGAGGGAGAGAGGGAGGGATGGAAGAGAGAGAAAGGTATGAAGTGAATGGAAATTTTCAGACGTCTCCTATTTCTGGGCAAAAAAAGTCCCACATCTGGGCAATAGCTTGAGCTCTACATCTCCACATCACACACTTCACACACTTCACACACATCAGACACCGTACACATCACACACATCAGACACTTCACACCCTTCACACCCTTCACACACTTCACACACTTCAGCTCTGTTGGGTTATTAGCGCTCCTTCACCTGAGGGCCTGGGGGTCCACGCTCTCCACCGTTGCCAGGTTTGCCCGGCTCACCCTGCGAGAGAAAAACATCATGTCATCCGTGAGGCTGCAAATCAAACACTGATCAGCATCTGATCAAACCTCCCCCTGTGGCAGAACAGTGTAACTGCATCCTAACAGAGATGAAAGATTTACACTGGTGCTTCATCCTCAAAGCGGCGGTTCTCCACAAACACACAGACGACGCTCAGAAAACCCCTGAATTCATCTGATGTATTCCTGTAGAGCTTCATCAACACACAGCGGCTCAGAGCAGCTCCAGATGAATAATCGTGTTGACAGAAATGTCCACGGTGTGACACTGATGAAACATCAGCTGTGTGAGACAGCAGCGGCCCTGTTCAGCCCAGTAACACTGTGACTGTTGCAAAGCTCCGTGTGTTTCCATTGGGGGGTGTATAACGGGATCGCATGGTTCAGGATTGGTAGAGCTACGCATCGATGAATTTGCTCTTCAGTGTTTGAACTCTCAGTAAAGATTAAATCACACTGAACTGAGCAAAACTGAACTGAACTGAACTTAAACACTAAAACCTGAACCACACTGTTCCAGTTACTGAACCACACTGTTCCAGTTACTGAACTACACTGTTCCAGTTACTATGACCATTTATGTGAAGCTGCTTTGACACAATCTACATTGTAAAAGCGCTATACAAATAAAGCTGAATTGAATTGAATTGAATGATGGTGGTGTATACTGACATTCACAACAGTGTGAAAGAATAAGAACTGTGTCCACAGATGTCCGAGCTTGTCTCTCCAGTCGATACTAATTCCAGAACTTTAATCGAGCACAGCTCTAGCCCACCTCATGAACAGAGGAACTCCTTATATGGCCATTCCTCAGGGTAGGGCAGCCAGAAGGAGGAGTCACTGCGGCTCACAGGACCTGATTGAGAACAGCTCCACAGATGTGTGTGTGTGTGTGTTTAGGGTGATTTAGCACTTCATTTACCCCTTCCATACGCAAGTTTTAAACACCTCAGCTGACCCCTGAGAAGCCATCACACTTATGTTTCCACAGCAACACGTCTGTATGATCACATGACACAAGCCGCAGCCCCTAATGCACATCAAAGTCAATTAGTGTCATTGATTGAATATCTCCGCCCACTACACGCCTCCAGGACTTCCGCTCCTCCTGGAGAGGTTAGGGTTAGGGTTAGAGAATTTCAGAGTCTCTGCAACAGTCAGGATGTTTCTGTAAACACACAGATTAGCTCAGAATGCTAATGGCTAAAGGAGAGTTCGCTCAGACAGACACGCAGCTGACGCCACTGACCCCGCCCACCGCCATCACAGAGACAGCATGAGGTACGAGAGGGGAGGAGCAACAGAGTTCATGGAGGAGCTGAGGAGAAGAGAAGAGCAGGAGGCGCACACACACACACACACTTTTATATACACACACACACACGCACGCACACACAGAGCGGCAGCAGGTGAACAGTCCATACTCACATCATCTCCTGGTTTCCCTGGGGGTCCGGGTGGGCCACGGGGACCCATTGGGCCCTAGGAAGACAAGATGAAGATGTGAAACTACAGACACACACACACACACCAGAGATATGAGTGTAAACACTGCGCTGTCAAACTCTATCCGTTTTCAGAAGTGTGTGTGTTCAGCAGTGTGTTCATAAATTTGTGTGTGTGTGTGTGTGTGTGTGTGTGTGTGTGTGTGTGTGTGTGTGTGTGTGTGTGTGCGTGAGTGTGTGTGTGTGTGTGTGTGTGTGTGTGTGTCTGAGCTGCGGGTCAGTCATTAATGAATCGGCCCGCTGTGATCATGAGTGTGTGTGTAATGCGCAGTAACGAGAGCTCGCTCAGACATACGGATGATCCCGGCTCTCCGCCTTCTCCTGGGTTTCCTTGGAATCCTTGAGGACCCTGAAGAACAAACACACCAATCACATCACAGACTGAGCGTCCAATCACAGGCCAGCAACAATATTTACATGAGCAGCATGTGTGTGTGTGTGTGTGTGTGTGTGTGTGTGTGTGTGTGTGTGTGTGTGTGTGTGTGTGTGTGTGTATGTGTGTGTGTGTGTGTGTGT